GTCTCGGCCACCTTCCTTCTCATGAATGCCCGACCATAGCCGATGTTGCAACGACCGTGAACTCAGTTGACCGCTTGCAGGTATGAAGAGTCACAAACGGAGACATTTGCACTGGGTTTCTCTCATCCATTGTCTCTTTCTCTTGTTCTCGGTTACACACGCGGGCACCCGCCACAACTAACTTCTTCATAAGAGGCCTTGACCGTGGCAGCGAGCTTGCACGAACGCTAGACGGTTACTCCCTCTGCAGCATGGACTGGCGGCCTCCATGACTTGGTCATCAATCCCCGTGGTCGCCACCCCTTTCCTCATGCGTGAGACGATCACACCTGCTGTAGCAGCCCTCGTCCCAGTCACTTTCCCGTCGCATCTCCTCCCTAGGAGGTGCACACCTTGGCTGCCGCAGCCATGGCAGCACCAGTCAGCGGGGTTCACCCTGGTCACCCACTCTAGTGAACCCGGTCCCCCTCGGTCTCCTTGGTCCCGAATGTCCCTCACACACCAGCAGCCGCCATAGCTTYCGTTGACTGTCAACMARCGTTGGCAGCGGTGGGCTGTGTACACCGTGCATGCTGCTCCCTTCTCCCTCTGAATGCATCCCCCCCGTCTCCATGTCCAGACGCCCGTTGACTTCGTCCATATCTGCGACGTGGGCGGGGTACACCTTCCATACCGCGAGAGTCCGCCCCCACCTGAATGTCCCAATCCTTTAGCCGGTCTGTCCTTTATCCCACATAGGCCACCCAGTCTCTAATGGAACGGTGGCATGTCTCAGGCCCACAGGCCCAGTAGCAGGACCCAGGTACTAGGCCGTAGCACGAATGTTAATGATACCAACTCACGGCGAGCAGCAGTGCCGAAAATAGTTGAACTGTACCAGTTTTGGACCGGACCGAATATGATAATACCAGACCGCCATGAGCGTCACTAGTGCTGGTCCGGAAGAGAAGAAATGAATAGGTCGAGTTGCAGCTCCGCTTAGTACCGTACCAGTTACCGAGCCATAAGAATGAGAAGCAGGCTGCAGTACGCTGCCCCGGTGTCATCCCTGTACCGAACCAACAAGTCACAATTGCCGTACCAAAATGGCATAGCTGGCCAGAGCGGCATTCGCCAGTCCCGTTACCATACCAGCCCAACGCCGGACGCCGTAAAGTGCAGCAAAAGTGCCGTGACCATACCGAACCAGTGTACCGTACCAAGATAATAATGTCGCGTGACTCGTCCCAAAATGGAATCGATAGCCGCAGCGATCCGACCATGTTATAGCAACCTCGAAACTGGTACCGCTCAGCGCTCGAGAATTACACCCGAGTTATAACTAAAGTAATAATCAGTTGAATCGGGGGAAAATTACACGTGAATTTATAATTATCGAAAGTGTGTACAAACAGATGACACCATGGTGAATGAATAATTCCTAGTTAAAATCATCACAAATAAACATTGTTAAAATTGATCAAATAATAAGCAATCATTCGTTCTCCTCCCTTTTATTATTTTTAATTATTTTCCTGCTTAATTCTATTATCGGAAATAATGACTAATGAGGGCGACCCCGTTAAAATTAAATACCGAGGAAATTTAATAGAATAAGGAAACCATTTTCTCTTCCCATCTATTGTTTTCAACTTTTTCTTCCATTTTTAATTTCGATATTAAGATCAAGGAAATTCGAGGTATCATTCCCGCACCAATAATGCAAGATAAAAGGGTCGTGTGAAGGCTTACTCCCGTATTCCCATCCCGCGGCTAGCTGCTTCGGGAATAGACTCGGAACAAGCGGAAGAGAGGTGGGGCACAGCGTGGTAGAAGCGGTAACTCCCCTCGTTAATTTGAGGGTTACTCTCAGTGGTTAACACACCCAAAATTGGGGGTGCTTTGGGTACCCCTAATTTTCCCCGTCAGGTCAAACAAGAGTACCGTCAAAATACGGTCTAGTCATCGGGTTGAAGACTCGACACCGCTGACGTAGGGTGGCCCATTGCCTGTGTCCGCCCGACAACGGGTCCGTAGCTGCAGCCAAAACTAAGGTAGCGGTCTTCTCGAAGAAAGTTGTGGCGACCAATCCTCGTCATATTCGAGCCCCTCATCGCGATGCTCGTCACGGTCTTACCGTTTATCATCCAAGTGTTCGCTGCCAGTGCTGATCTTGGTGCTGCTCGTCACAACATTGCTTGCTCGCCGTCGCTGCGTAACCAGGAGCTGCATGAACTTGACCACCAGTTTTGACCAGATACACTAGGAGAAGAGGACAAAGGGGAACACGGCAAAAAGAGAAGATGAGAGTGGATGGAAAGGGAGAGTTTGGCTGGGGCAGCATTTTTGTAGGAGACAATGGCGTTGTGCTAAGATAAAACTCAACAAGAACGGAAGTTTGGTATGGATCAAGGGGACGGGAGCTCATTTGAATTTTCTACTATGTACTGAATTGTCAGGACATGTACCTGGTCACAGCGGCAGTCTGCATGGTCGACGAAGGCATACACTTCGGTTGCTGCTGCTGACAACGGGCGGGGGGTGCTTCACTGATCAATAGTGTAGTTTAGAGTGGCTATGTGGCTGTGAGCCTGGGCGCTGAGCGCCGGGGGGGAAGGGAACACTCAGTCCGCATTCAGGAAGGCATTGCATGGCCGTTCTTAGTTGGTGAGATGAGTTGTTTGGTTGATCCGGTTGAAACAGGACCTTGGTTGCCACAGTCTGAGTTGGGTGTGGGGCAAGACGACATCTATTGGAAGGAGCTTGGTACTGCGAGTTAGGCATATTGTTGCCACCCTATCCTTGGGCTGACAGTGGCTGTAAGGGAACAGGTTGACACACTTTTGACGAAGGTTACTACCATATGCTGTAGTTTGTTGTCGTCACTATACTACTGAATTGCTACGGAAGAGTCCCTAGCGATCTAAGAGCTACTGCTGTGCCGTCAGGGCGCTGCTGTATAGTGCAGCAGCGAACGCAGTGCCTCTACCAATTTTTACCGCACGACTAGGCGCTGCATTGGAGTTCTTGCTGTCAAGGGAAGTAACAACAGTTGAGGAGTTGCTAATCTAGCTGCCGTGTTTCTGAGGCTACTAAGAGTGTTAAGCCTTATTACACAATTGAAAGGTTGCACTTATGGTTAGCCTGTGGAGTTCGACAGTCAGATTTGAAGGAACTACTGCTGTTGCCGGCAGTCAAAACTACCAAGTGTACAGCGTTGATGTGCCTTTGCAGCGTTGTTAGCACCGTGGTTATCTCACTACTGTATACGCTGCCTTGTTGTGGGTCTGATGCTACTGCGGCGTTCTAGCTGTTGCGGCTGCTAAACCACTGACCGTTGTTGCCGAGCCACTACACACTTGCTACAGCGCACCAAATTGCTGCTTCGGCAATATATTTAGGTGTTGCTGCTAACCTCCTCAGTAGGTTGCTGTTGCAGCAGCCAGGAAGCCGTATTGCCACCTACAACACTGCAGTCCTCTCGAGCAAAGCTACTTCAATCAAAGACTGTTGCTGCTGATCTTGAGACCGTGGGTACCTGTTGCTGTTGGAGTTGAGATTCTGCTGCGACATCGGCCGCCTGTTGACACGGACGCATGCGACTGGCTGCCATTGCGGGGCCCTTAGGATCTGAAGGCACCAAGGCCCTCTCGTGTGAGTTGAGTTGGCCCCTTCTCGTACCTCGAGCGTCTGACCACTCTTCTTCTTTCCTTCTTCCTCTCAGTCTAGTCTATGTTTGGAGAGGAAGGCGGCAGGCGGGATTGCAACCCGTAGGACCGCATCAAGGCCTTTGTGGGAGGTTGACCCACCGATTGCGGGAGCTCTGCCGGAGCCCAGGCGGGACTCTGGAGGCAGGGAACTCAGAGGTAGGCCGATACTATACCACTAGAATTCCAATAAACCCCCTATTTATACAAACCTGGTGTTTGATCTCTCTGACTTTGACTTGTGTATATGTTTGTTTTCTTTTTTTTTAGGACTTTAACTAAACCAAAAATGGTAATCTACTATGCATGTTAATTCATCTGTCTGTGGTAAAAATCACGATGTTTGCATGCGATGATCTAAATGGGACTGGAGATGAGGTCTTCTAACAGATCCAGCCGCTTTGCTGATTGTCTGGACATTGAGACGGGCCGGGGTCAGGACCTGCCGCTTTGCTGATTGTCTGGACATTGAGATGGGCCGGGGTCAGGACCTGCCGCTTTGCTGATTGTCTGGATATTGAGACGGGGCGGGGTCAGGACCTGCCGCTTTGCTGATTGGCTGGACATTAAGACGGGGC